AATACAGATACAATCGCCACAGAAACCAGAGAGACTCAAGAAAAGTTATACAATGATGCAAATCAGCAATTAAATATGACATTCGAAGCGTTTAAGGTAAAGGAAAACCAAGATAATATGTTTAAAATAATGCTTAAAAACTTTTGGCACAACACATACAAAAGACATGAGCCAACAAGAGCGCAAGCAACACAAACCCTGAAAAACCAACGCGATGCAATGGTGTCAGCCTTTACTACAATGCTTGACAACAACAAACCACCAGAACCACCGCCAAAGAACCCACCAGACGAGGAGGACAGCGACGAAGAAGAAAAAAGATTCAAACTGACAAAAATGATAGAAATAATGCTACACAACGGCGCTACAGTAGCAGATATAATATTAAACTTATCACATAGCGCAATTGCAACAACAATAAATATCGCAGATTTAGTTAATCAAATAACAGCAGGAAATGCACAAGGTAGCAGTAGCAATTCATGAAATGAAGCTATTAGTGTTCATAGTTCGCCACCTATTACTGTTCATAGTTCTTCATCTGAAAGTCCAACAGAAATACCAGCACCAACTGAAGACGAAGAAGAAGAAGACGGTGAAGAAAAACAAAATTATAATTCTGAAAAATTAAAATCTAAATAATATTATATATAATGGGTTCAAGTAAATCAAAACCAGTAGAAATTGATGATGAAGAGGCTATTAAAGTAATAAAAGATATAGATGTAAATACGATAAGTGAAATGTCAAGAATTGATATTCTACAAATAAATTCATTGAAAGCAATAATAAATAAATCAGAAAAAGTTAATGAATGTAAAAAAGATAAAACATATTATAAATTTCCTGCCTTAAATTTATGTAGCTATTCTTTATTCTAAATTGATAATATTAACATACATTAATATTATTAATTACTATCATAATCTGTCATTTCATCTTCTGGTAATTTTGTTGAGGCATTGCTACATATATCATCTATTAAATCTTCTTCATCAACAAAATTATTTTGAAATCTTAATAATTCCTGGTCTGTTGCCCTTCTTTTCAATACCTTATAAAGTTTATGTATCCAAGAATTAGTATGAAAATTGTAATTACCTCTACGATAAAATCCACCACATCTACATAGTTTCATTAGCATATTATTATATTACATTAAATTAGAATATCTTTATTCATCATTTGTAAATTGAAATGCTGACTCTTCGGGTGAAAAAGATTTCAAATAGTCCTGATGCTTTTTTGTTTTCAAATGCCTCAAGTAGTTATTACTTTGACATACCGCGCCACATTCACATGTTGTTGTTTGTTGTTGATTTTCTCTCAAGTGTTCTTTATTTTCTTCACACCATCTTTTGTGGTTCTCCTTTACTCTATCTTGATGTTGTAATACCCATTTCTTATGATTGATTTGTTGTTGCTCCGTGTGAGTTTCTCTGTATTGTTTCATTTCCTGTAAGTAATGCTCTTTATTGCTTTCATATCTCTCCTTTTTCTTTTCTAAAACATGCCCCTTGTTGTCATTATAATATCGCTTGCAATTTTCGCGTTGCTCCTCCAAAGAAGAACACGCTCTGACTTTGTTAAGCGTTGATTGTTCTTGCTCCATGCGCTCTCTCTCGTGTTTTCTTGCCTCCAGTGAGTTTGGACAGTTCACTGTTTCTATCAAAACCATGTCAAAATTGTCCCATCCGCCATTTTCACGAATGAACTGATATAGTGGCAAATGATGATTTTTATCATTTCTATTATAACATACTCGTTTATGACATCCTTTTCTGGTTTTAAAGTCTGTAGTATGACCTACATAACACCCTTTGATTTTTAAATCTTTGCACACTATCTTATAAATGTGTGTGTTAGAATAATCTATTTCTTTTCGTGGCATTACGATGTATATAGTAGTAAAAATGTTTATCTTTAGATATCAATCATCTGTAATCTTAAAAGAATGTTCAAAACGGAGAAAAAACATGTCATTCACATTCTTAGCATTCATATTCACGTAGAAGAAACTATAAGGTGCGTCATTAACGGCTTGATGATACATATCTAATAATTGCTGTTTGTCAACAATGGCGCTATTTTCTTCAATAAAACTCATTAATTCACTGGCATTTTTCAACCTAAAAATATATATAATGAACTGGCATTTAAACGAATGATAGGCGCCAAAACATTGTATTTTTGTGTTGAACAAATTACGCTTACTGCATCGTGCCTACCTCTTGTAAATAATCCATGTAATAATTTACTATATCTAACAAATTTAGGATCGTCGGCATGATCGTCTATAACGATTAATATTGAATGTAGTTTCTTTATCTTTTTGATTTCATATAATTAATTATTTTCTTCTGTCTTTCAATTACATTTTCTAAATCACTTGGATTATAGTTATCAAAATAAATTTGTTCTTTTTCATCATCCACGTGCAATTCATCCCTGATATATTTTTTAACTTCTGTAAAGGTTGGGTCATTATGAACGCTGGGGGAAAATATAAATATTCTTGCAAATGAATTTCTATAAACATTTAAGATAAGGTTCTGAACCAAGACTGTTTTGCCACCTGTCGAACTCGCAACTATAATACTTCTAAATGGTAATTTTGGCACGTGCTCATATTTAGATTGTTTGAATTCATATTCAGTTATGTTTATTGGCTTTATTATTGGAACATCTGACATAATAAAATAATATTAAAGTTATTTAGAAAATATTTTATATTGATTATTTTATATGAATAGAAGCTATTCAGATTATATCAATATAATAAATGAAGTAGAGAATATAGAACAAGTTGTTATAACTGATAATAGATTTAAAAAAATATGTTATTTTGTTTTAGAATTAATTAAGTTTGTGATACAATATGTCAAAAAAAAATGTAAATATTACTATAAATGGGAAGAAAGAAAAAGAATAAGACTGAACCAGTTGTTTCTTCAACTGATGAAGAAAAAGAAGAAGTTGTTAAAGAAACATCAGTTATTGAGTTTGCTTGTCCAATGTGTAAAAAGATGTTAGAGATTAAAAATGAAATAGAATTCAAAAAAAAAGAAATTGTAAATGTTCGTGTATTCCGACAAGTTTCAAAATTAGTAAAAATGATAAGAAAATGAATATTGATAAAACTAAAGACAGTATCAACTTAGAAACAGATGTTCATAATATTGCTATTCGCTTTGGGAGGGGAGTTACTCCATCCGAGAATGGCGAAAAGGAAACACAGGAAACGATACGCGAAATGATGAAAAAATAATTAAAAGTAGTTCTATTATTATTTATAATGCAAGATGTTATAAATAATATTCTTAAATTCATTGATGTAAAAGAATTGAAATTAAATAACTTTATTGAAGAATATAACGAAAATGATATATTAATTAATTTTGTTAATGACTTTAGAAATAGTAAAATTGATTTTAACATGTTTTATAATTCTATTAATTATGCTGATTTATTTGAACAATCAGATTTAAAATTTTATTGTAAAAGAATATATTCATATACTTTAAGATTTATTGCTAATTATGATAATAAAAATGCTATTCAGTTTTATGAAATTACATTGAGAAAAATGAATAATATTTACAAAAATAGTAACATTAATGTTGTTAATGTGTTTGAATGTATTAAATGTTTAATAATTTATATTACAGATAATATTGAAAAGTTTCATAAATATTCAAAATTTAGAAAAACTATTATTTGTAATTTAATTGGTAAATTGAATAATAATTTAACGAGTTACACAATAACTAATTTTGAATTGACTTATAATGATATATGATTTTGTAAAATAAAAGTTTAGTTTTAAAAGTTTTATTTTATAATATAATATATATATTTTACATGGATGAAGGATTAGAAAAGATTGTTAAAAAAACTGAACAAGGTTTTAGAACAGAATAAGAATATTTTAGAAATCTTGCAAGAAATGGAAAAGAAGAAACCTTTAACAAACAGTTATCAAAGTAAAGAAGTAGATAGAACCAATGGTGAATATAAAAATAAAAGAAATATTTATTTAAACAAACTTAATAACAAAGAAATTAAAGAACCGAAGGCTTCAACTATGACATTTTATCAAATTGACTATGATGAAGATACGGGGGTTTATTCATAGATAATAATCCAACGACAAAACAGCATGTTTTTCTTGAAATTAGGTGGGGTTCCCCCTTTTTTGGGGCGACAGTTTATTTATATTATGTTATTATAATATAAATTAACATTGTAAAACTTTATAACCTTTCATTATACCATAGTTATACTCTATAAAATTTGTTTTTGTGATTCTTTTTTAATGAATGAACATAACCTTGCCCATAATATTTCTACAAAATTTATGATAAAAATATTGCAAGATAATTTATCATAATTTTTGGAATGATATTTTTGAAAATTTATTTTTTGAAAACTTTTTTTGGAAAATATTATTTGGAAAATATTATTTGGAAAATATTATTTTGAAAATATTATTTTTTGAAGATATTATTTTTTGACAATATGTTTTTTGAATTATTTTTTTTGAAGATATTATTTTTTTGAAAATATTATTTGATGAAAATATTACTTTTTTGAACAATATTTTTTTTTTTTAATGAATGAGCTTAACCTTGCCCATGCATCCTACCATCAATAACCATATCATATGAACCACCCTATACTTCTATTTCCCCACAAGCATCCTAACAATGACAAGAATGATGGAATAGAAAATGAGAAAATGTGACTTTTTTGATGGATTTTGAGGTTGAGACTGTTATGAAATGTTTTGAGTGGAAATATGCATAATGAATAAGGATGACGATTTGAATAGTGAACAAATGGTTGAAAAATGCTGTTCTTGCGTAGGGGGGGGGGGCACGCTAGGATACCATAAAAAGATGGGCAAGGCCCACCCTAACTCCTGGACGCTTAAAATCTGCGAAAAGGATCGATCCTGGACTCTCGCCCTTTGCCATGTCCCAACGTCCGGGTCTCCGGGCCAGGGCACAAAAGAGCGACCTGCAAAACACACGCGGCTCGGGCGGGTGCTTTCATTGAACTGTTTGGCAGCGGGCCTCTTTGTCTTTGTGGGCTTGAGGGGCAAGATTGAGTGTTTGTGTTGTCAGCTATTAGGCTATCAAGGGTTCTTTCTTTCTTTTTGGATTTGATACATGAGCCCGTGGTGCAACCACTTTCGAGACACCTCTTGAAAACAAAATGCGGCACCTGGCGTCACCGTTTGGCTAGTTGTTTTCAAAGGAACCTGCCAACCGCCACCAACAGAGGCTGGGTTTGACAATTTCACAACGAAGCTCTGCATCCCAAGATTTACTTGGCTGCCCCCTGCCCGAGCAGTTTAACGTTTTTGAAGGCCAATAGCAACAATCATCACCTCACCAGAAACTAAAGCCTAAAGATATATATACATATGGGTGTGGCTCAAAAAACCGGTACCGAAATGAAACCTGGTAAGTGGAAACATGGACCAAAACCCGCGTAACCCCTCCTGCTTAATTTTGAGCCACAGCCATATATTATATAAAGTGGTTAGTGGACATGCATCCCCCAAAGATGTCCATCCCTTAAGATTGCCCTCAGAAATATTTTCCAGATCTCCGAGGTGGCAAGGGTCCGGGACCAATTGAACTGACCAGTTTTTAAACCTCCCTCCCCTCAATGCCCTTTAAAAGAATGGCTGTGGGTTCCAATTTTTGATGATGACGATCCCGCAAGGTAAACCATGAAATATGAACCTAACCATTGTCTTAATTCCGCTGCCCCTGATTGGTGGTTTGGATTCGTGGTTTGGTGGTTCAGGGGTGGTGTCCCATTTGCCCTCAAAGCTGTGGGTTCTTAGTTCTTACTTCCCAAACCACCTATCCAAACCACCAACCTGACGGACCTGATTCATGGTGGCCTGCCTGAATCCTACTGTGGACGAACCCATTTCGCCCCAGCTCAGAAACCCTGGTTTCTGATTTCCCCTGTAAATCCCAACACACCATGGCTTCAAAGTGGTGCGAAATGAGTTCATAATCAAACCCTGGTACAAACATGGTGAACCCAGAACCATGTAAGGAATTTGAACGGCGGCGAAGGCACCCATCTCCGGCTGGGACTGTCCCTAACATTCATCTACCCATGTGTTGATTGTGACTCAAATGCCCCTCTCCAAAGAAAATGTCAAAAAGGAAGAAGCTTCCCTGTCAAGTTGGCCCATCTGGGATACACAGAACATGAACTCTTTTCCGAGCCGTGTTCCATATAAAGTCCACCCTAAACTGAAACATGGGTTTGGAGGATTTCGCAACCGTGACACAGACCCTCAGTGCAGCTGGCTGCGCGGTCGGTGCCGGCCCCGAGGGCCCGCGCCCCCGCTTTGCCCCGTGGCCGTCGCATCGGATGTGGTCCGTCCTCAAAGGCGAGTTCGAGGCTAAGGTTGGGCTCTTTTCCTTCTCTGGGGTGGTGGAAAGCATCTCAAAGCCTCTAGGACCCATTTGGATATTGCTGCGGACAGTTTAGGACAGCTTGGGGCAGTTTGGGACAGCTTGGGACAAACAGTTTGGGATATGGGTCTGTCTTTTTGTTTACAGGAAGCTCGTCTTTTTTTCTTCCCCAACAGCTGAAAGCTTTGGCAGGAGACCCCTGCCCAAATAGGCTCCGGAATGGTCCGGGGCGGCCCTGAACTAAGGTTCCACGAGGGTTCCACCACGGTCGGCCCTTAGCACCAAAAAGAGCGCCGCGTGCTGTTGGGGATATCACCTGGGTTTATTCTGTAGTCTATTTTAGTAGGGGAACCCCACCCCCAAAAAGTTGGCAAAGGGGCACTACTGGGGGACCTAGCTTCTGATCCAAAGAAGCAAGACAAAAGGCACCACTGAAGATGTGGGTGTTTGAGGCTTGGAAAATGAAGCAGCAGGCTCACTGGATTTCTCCCCCTAAACTTGATCAAGGATCAGGTGTCAAAACCTGGGGTTTTTTGGGACTGGAGCATTTGGGAACAGCTTACAGGAAACCACAAGGCATGGTCTCACTTCCTGCGATTGGGCAAAGAATGTCGATCAACTTGTTCGCTGAAGTGGTCGTGACCAAATTCCCAAGGAGCTCTGGGAGCGAGTGGACTGTTCGGGGCTCCTTTTTCGCTGGAACCAGCAAGTTCTGGGCAAACTAAGCTCACGAACCACTAAGTTGCAGTTCTTTGAGTGGCAACCCAATGTTAGACCTGAATTTGTGTTGTACTTTTAGTTAGATGTTCAACCCACACACGCCGGGTGAAACATTCGCCCACATCTATCCTCCAAGTGGGGTCAACTGTTGGTGTACATCACCTGCATACTGTCTGGTTTCGGTGTTGGCAATGGTGAAATCGGTTCAGCTCTAAGCGGAATGAAGCCTGGAAGCCTGGGGTGCTCTTGGAGCTCCCTGAAACCACCCCTGGCCTTTTGCGTCTCTCGCTTCCGGGGGGCGAAACTTTGCCACGGGGTCCATCCCAACTGAAGTCCAGCCTGTTCTAAGTGGTGGTTTGGATTGGTGGGGTGGTTAGGGCTGGTTTCCAGTAGAGAGGGTAGACAAATTGGGTACCCTTCCGAAGTCTATAGGGGAACCCTCCCCGGGCACTGGGGGACCTAGAAATGGGAAGCTGACAATTTAGGGAACCAAAGGACCCCAGACGCCGCGTTTCTGAGCTTCCGCGCTTCTGCACGTCTCTCTGCCCGCAGGCCCACTCAGGCTCCTGGTGGTGCCTCAGCCCCGTCGACTCGGAGGTCTGGACCAAGTTGCCAGGCGCCGGAGGAAAAACTCGATGCTATAACATATATGTATATACATATAACATATCTGGGCTGCCCTCAGCTCAGGGGATGGCTGGGAGCCATCAAGGTATAATGCATAAATATGTGTGTATATCTACATATATTTATATTTATGCATTAGTCGGGAAATTGTAAGGGGACCCTTTGTGGTCATCATTTCGTTGTGCTTTGTCCACCAACCAATTCTGAGGTGGTTCCATGGTGAAATTCATAGCCATATCCAGTAGTGATAGATTGCCTTTGAAGCCAACAGTGATCTACGATGGTACGCCAAGGCTGATGACTCTGGAGTTCAAGGATTGCATATTCACGCACCCCTTACCGGGAATTGTGGTACCTGTAGGATGGCGTTGAGAGATAAAAAGGGTCCAATATTGGACCAACCTGCGGATAGATCGAAATAGCTTCCCCCCGAAACACATGTAGGTGTTCCTTGTGGCTTCCCTGCAAACCAACCTGCCTCTCCTCTCAAAACATGTACTAAGACCATTCCAGTCCTAGATGCGGGCCTTCCGACCGTTCAAGTGGATTCTTGTAGATCGATCTGGAAGACAAATGCAAAATATTCCTCAAATAGGCTAAGCATGGATTGGGTAGTGCGGTGATTGAAATCCAAGTTGAGTCCAAGTTTGGACCCTACTTGAAGTACTTGCCTTTGCGGTCACAGTAGCGTCGCTGCCTTCTTCGGAACCCAAAAATGGTTAGGACACCAGGAGTCCGTGGGTGGCGAGTAACTAATCCGCAGTTTAATTGGTGCCTTCGTAGCGTGCGGTTAGCTAACGTAATAACAAAAGTGATAAGAAGAAAGAACCTGTTGAAGAAAGCGAACAAAAACCACCCTCGCCATATGATTAAATTACCAGTGGATCCATTTGCCTGAGTATATAGGGAACCATTAAGAGAAACAGCCTTTGAAACCTAAAATCAAACATAGCCTAGCAGGTTGCCAAAACGTGCAACTTCTTTTGCACGACAAGAGTTCTCCGAGATTAGTCCAAAATTGTTTCTGTCCTCATATTGCTGGATAAGTGTGTGTGTGTGAGTGTGTCTGTGTAGGTGTGCAATGTGCGTGCGTGTGTGCGCGTGCGTGCGTTTGCACGGGCGTCTGGGAGCGTGTGTGGGATCGGATGCTTTTGAGGGTACCCTGTGTTGTGTTTGGTCTAATGCGGAACCATAAGGAACCCCCCCCCATTTCGGGTTCCCGTATTTTGAGACAAAGCCTGGCTCCTATACGGACAGTTGGTGAGTCTGCCCCGGAGCCACTACACTCCGGGAGTTGAGGAGAAACATAGAGGGGCCATGTGCGTATGCAGACATTCAGACTGAGAGGCTGTGATCCATTGATCTGTCGAAGCCCAACTCTGGGTCAAACATTTTCTCAGCTAAAGGGACCTGGAAAGTCAAAAGGCCGCCTTGGGGCAGGTGAGTTCTATTTGTTGCTGAGAGCACGAGCCGATGGTCCAAGTAGCTCGTACTTGTGTCCTTAGACATTTGTATCTGACAGATTCCCTTCAACCAAGCCAAAAAAACTGCCACTGCACATGTTCACGCTAGCCCCTGCTACTCTTTAAGGAGGGTGATGGACATTATCCAAAGGGGAAGTACGGGTGTGTCCTTTTTGATGGCACGTTTGGGGTTGTTTCCACGGGGAAACGAAAAGAATCCTGCCATTTTCCGGGGACTCATCCAACAGCGGAGGTTGTCAAAATTCGGGCATCCCCTTCTTTTTTTCCGGCGGAACGTACCGGCGACACCGAACAACTTGTTTTTCAGGGGCCATCTTCTTAACGAGGTGCCAGTGAAGCACCTTGGTCTCCGGGTACTTGCCGTCCATGACGCTCTCCCAGTTCCCAATGTTCACCACATCCGAGTGCATCCTCAGAAAACCTGAAACCTCCCGTTCGGAAAGCTTCGCCAAGGGCGGCCAAATGCGTGCCTACAGAGAAAGGATGTGAAGGGCAACATTCTTCAGTTCCAACCCGGGTCCAAGTACCTTCTCGATCGGCACTTCTCTTCGCATGTGGACCTTAAAAAGCCTTCTGGAAAGTATATACTTGGACTCTCCGGGTTGGTGGAACATCTAGGGACAACCCATAAAAGTGTTTTCTGCCAAAATAGAAACCTTAGCCGCCAAGACGCCGGTCAACAAGTAAGGCCATACGAGCCGGTGGCTTATGACGTCCCAGAATCCAAGGGGTCTCCAGGAACCTAATTCAAGAGGTTTCCCCTTCGCAAAAGCCCGGTCCTGGGACGGAGTTTCTGAGTCCCTACATCTTGGCCCACATCTGAGGTGCTCCGAAACCAATGTATTCTGATTCTGACACATATATTAGGCTACCCTAAAAATCGATTAGACACGTCTTTTGAAACATCACCCCACCAAAAAGGAAATGCGCTTGCGCATGGCGCTAACGGTAATCTCAAAACCATCCAACACGGGTTCCGGGGAGTTTTTGCTCACCCAAGGGCTCCAGTGACAGGCGAATCAAGTTGACACACTGGTCCCACTTGAGTGTTCGGCCAAGCTAGGATACAACCCACCTACACGTCCCAGGTGGGGATCACCTTGTTATCAGGTTACATGGCCAGCGACCCAAGTCGCCAGCCACCAACTGGGCATTCGAAGATCCAAGCATTGAGTCTAGGGAATGGGCAGGCGCTCGCTCAAACCACTTCAGAGCCAGTGCCTGTGGCTCTCGGGGGGGTGAGACAGCGGTTCACCTTTAGGGAAATGAAGGGCAATTGAAAAAGCAAGCCGAAGAGCCTTCACGGGCTCATTTTCCTGAGGTGTTTCGCCTGATTGGAAGGCGATGCGGATCGGACTTGAGATTCCATTCCTTCACATTCTCCTTGCGCCTGTCCTCCCCAGCAAAACTCGCCCAGCAACCACGGCTCCAGCCCCGAACGGATGGACTTGTGGAAACGAATTTGCAGGTCGGATGTAACGTACCAATCAAATGGCGATTCTCTTGTTGGTTTCCCTTTGCCAGCCCCAAAAAACAGTTTCCGCACTTCATTACTTCCGTCTTTGAGCAATCCATCGTAGGGTTCCAGCATTTGATTCTTAAACCCCAAGACCTCCAATTCGAAATCGACCATCCCTGGGTCTGGTCAAACAAACGCAACTCTGATCCAGTGAAAACCTCGCAGAATCTTGTGACTTTTGGTGAGGAACCCTGTTTTTGGTTCAAAAGGGAAACCAAAAAGAAACCACCATGTTTAATGGGTGCAAAATAGGCAGTCTGGAAGAAAATAATAAATGCCCATCTCATGCCATCCCCTTGTGGCTGGGTGTTGGGGTGTTCCCCAGCCATTCTAGGATGAGCCGGTGTTCCTTCATATGAGCCAACATAATTACCCTAAAGGACAAGCGACGAATAAACTTCATGGCTGGAAAAATCACCTCCTGTCCAAGACCGGGGGGCCTTCGAGACAAACCCACTCACCCACTTGGGTAAGTTCAAGCTACTCAATACTTGCGCAGGTTCTATTCATACTCACAGAAGAAACAAATTGGAAGTGCTGGCATGCCAGTGATGGAACGCCCGCCGTATGGGATCTAGGTCCTCCAGAGAGGTTAGAATAAGGGTACCACCTTTTTTCTGTCTATTTTAGTAGGGTCCCGAACTCTCCCAACCAAAACAGAAACGGGTTACAAAGCACCAATTGCTGGGGGACCTAGGGATAAACCGCCCATTCCCGCCGTTGCCGCTTCGATTTCGAATTCGCTGAGCAGAAATCCCCATTTGCTGGGCTCCGGGCATGGTGCGGATCTGGTCTCGGTGCTTGCCTCACGGGCCAGGAACAATTCTCGGTTGCGAAGTCTGCCCTAAAAAAACAACTTCTAGTGGTGTAATACGGAAAACCGATTAGTTGGCAAAAAAAATATTCGGTCCTAACATCCAAGCAAAATGCACCAAAGAATTGGCCTCACGGGGTTCACGGGTTGAGACGAGGTGTCTCCCTTGGGGGACTCAGGCAGGCCACGAAGAAAACAATGGTTCACTTCATACTGTGGTTGGTTGCGAAATCCATTTCGCACCACCTTGAAACTATGGTTGACACCATAACGTTTGTCGGTATTTCCAGGGGAATCATCAGAAATTAATTAGGGCTTCTGAACGGTGGTGCGAGAAGCGGATTTCGCAACCATCCACAGTATAACCACCGTTGCTCACCGTTCAGGATTGTCATCCCTTTTTGGGTTACCATTCTGGGGGTGAACCCTGAGGCCGGGTCAAAGGAATCCGCGAGATCAAAGGCAAAATGCGGCCGTTGGCAGTCCAAGACGACACATGTTGCCGTCGAAAGGGGAGGCAAAGGAAAACCCAAAAGGCAAGATGCACCGGCGAGCCAAGCTGGGGCCCCGAATGGAGCCTTGGCTTTGCTTTCGATAAACGAAACAACGGTACCGAGGCAGGACAAGTTAAAGAGGCTGGCAATGCACACACAAACTTGCTGTGTTCGGCAACTTTGGCGCTTGTTTTGTACAATATCTTGCCCAGTCAACTATGATGGTATCCTTCTGGAAGCAAAGGTCCCGTGTTGACTGCACAAGCAGCGCAGTGGTGGAATTCGACACAGGCCACGGCGTCCACGGTTCCAGTTTTTGGATGCCCCATGGAACCATCCCTGGGTTTTAGTCTACCTGGGGGTAGTCAGGAAAAAACAACTTGAAACCTTTTGGACGCCGTTGAACGCTCTGAACCATATCCTAGTTTCAGTACCCAAGTCTTTGCCGGACGGCTTGTTCGCCTCCCGTGCGACTGCCCGAAACTCCTGGTTTGCCCCTCGAACGATCTTTGCAAGACGTGAACGCCTGGTAACTCATGTGAGGAGCAAACTCTGTTGAAACATCACCGCCCAAAAACACTCACTCACCTACGAACGGTCCTCAAGAGATGTTGAACACTGGGGGAAGATAGTCCAAACCCCCAGCGGATTTCCACGAACCTTTTTCTTTTGCAGCTGCTCGATTCTACATGGCCCCCCTCCCAAACTCACTTCCTGAACGGATTGGCCAAAACAAACCCAAGCTTTATGTCTGCCACTACAATGGTCTGCCCAAAAAGCAGGGACTCAGGAAGTGAGCAAAACAGTTGAACAACTTATTGACAACCCGCTGGGTGTGTAACCCCTCTAACAAAGATCAGGAACACAGGGCACCACAACACACACCTGTGGTCACCCTTACCGCCCAGTTGGTGGTTGGGTTTGGTGGGTTGGCTTCAAAACTCACTCTGACAATAAGAAGAACAGTTTTTCATTTCATGGTGAGGTTTTGGTTCTTTCACCCGAATTCCAACCACTCCAATCCACCTATTACCTACCTGAACTGGCTGCCTGGGAGGAAGAAACGACAAGGAACCCACGGCCGAAAATCCCCACGAGGCCGCCGGTGAACTTGGTTGACGTTGAAAGGGGAGCAACAAAATCATGTTTTTAGCAGTTAAGTGGATTTGGATTTCAACCACTAAACCACAATAAGCAAAAATGGGAAAACATGTTTCCCAACAACAACCATGCAAAGGGCTCATGACCCCTAGAAACCAGAGTCAAGCTCCTCCATCCCTGAACTGGCCTGGGAAAAAACCACCAACCCACGGCCGACCCCACGAGGCCGCCGGTTTTCTCGGGGCTCCGCGCCATGGAGCAGGCGCTGGGCGATGTCGTTGAGGCGCTCGTGGCCTGCCGGGCTCCAGGCCTCGACTTCCGATCCGCGGGTTCCGATCCGCGGGTGCGAGGGAACGAGGGAATGAACGCCTGAGATGGGAGTCCCTCGGTTGTTCAGTGACCCTGGGAAAAAATTGGGACCCCCAAAAATGGGGCTTGGGCCGTGTTTTAGTGGGGCAATTTGTGGGGCTTGGACCATTTTTGGGGCAGCCACCAAAAAGAAATGGGAAAAAGAATTGGTGCCACGCAACAGCTGAGTGGATTCCCGAAGAAAGGGTCGTTCCAGCATATTGGGATTCCCGAATAATCGGAGTCCCTACCCTGAGAAGGTGTTTCATTTTATGGGGGTCATTCGATTTCTCATTCCCTACTGAGCACCAGCAAGAACGATGTGTGTTGGTCTCTTGTTTGAGTTGGAACAATCAGGACTGGTGGGCAACATGTGGCTTTGCTCTTGTTTGAGTTGGTACCTTTTTTAACATTTGTTTAATGGGAAACCAACAGGATCTTGGGGAAACAGTCCCACAGGTTGTTTTTGCTTGACATGTTCAACATAACATAACATGATTGAGTTGGACAAAAAACACGGCATGGTCAACCAGAAGGCTACAAATCCAAGCCGGGGAGCCATGTGTTTTTTTCAAGTTTGCTGAGGTGTTTGGACGGGCGCTGTCTGACAGCAGTTGGCAGCTTTTAAGAAGCTGCTTACAGCGGTGGGCCTGCTGGAAAACAGCAGGTTACCACTGGAAAACGCGAGGGAGCAAGGTGGCTTCCCTTGCGGCCTGAAAAGGGGATCCTCAACATACGAACAAACAAACAAACAAACAAACAAACAGGCAGACAGACCAACTCACGCACCCACCGACTGGCCAGCCAACCAGCCAGCCAGCCAGCCAGCCAGCCAAACAGGCAGCCAGCCAGCCGCCACCCAGCCAGCCAAACCAAACACAACCAAACCAAACAAACCCAATCCAACTAACCAAGCCAGCTGAACCCAAACGAACCCAAAACTGACAACCCCAAAGGAACCCAGGAACTGCTCACTCCCACAGCCCTGAGACATAGTTGCCTGTTCAAAGACTCGATCCTCTTTCTTTGGAGACAAACGGACCCGGTGCAACCAACTTTTCACCCTGAAACAACTCCTGGGGCTCGGGGGTTGGGCCGTGCCCGTCAACCAGCAGCTCCCAGCTCAGAGGTCAAGACTTTTTCGAGCTTCAATGGACCCCTGGCCAACCAACCGAGCGAATCGGCCAGTTTCCCAGTTTCCCCGCGCGGGATTTTGGCCTGGGGCGGAAGTCTTTCCGCTGGCGAGCTCGTTTGGGGGTCGTGTTTCTAAAGCTACTTCCCCCCAAACACAAGTCCGAAGATCAGGTTTTTTGTTTCTGGGGGGAGAGGGCACTCTGATTGGCCGTGGACTGTAAAGGGAGGTGCTGCTCCTCCCTCCCTCCCACCCCAAAAAAAAAGACGGGGGTACCAACCCCCTCCTTGGGCCCAGCGACCCGGAACTCCTCGGCTCCCCGGCGCTCGCAAGGCCCAGCCCTGGGTCGACGCGGCCGGGTCGACGGTTCCACTGGCGGGCTGGATTTGTTGGGGCCTAGGGAAACCAAGCATAGGTTGCAAAGAGTGGCGCGAACCTGGGCCTGTACTCTGTGTGCTCTGCTTCTGCGTCAAAATGAAATGGTCTGCCCTTTGCTTTTTTTCTCTGGGCTACCTGTTTTTGGGTGGTCTTCATCATGGGGGTCCACTAAGAAAGACACACCTTAGAACTGAAGAGCTCTGCCCAGGCCGAGCGCTTTTAAGCGCTAGACGCGCTTGCGTGAGTTGGTGGATACCTGTCTCGAGAATTCCCAACATGTATGGTTCTTTATCATGATATCTATCAACGGCGTGTCCCCACCAAACAGAACTTGAATTCAGGTTGTTCCCAAAACGGAATGTTCAAACCAAGCAAGGACTAGGACTTTCGGGGGATGCGAACCGATCTGTTGAGCTCGCGCGTTGAAATGTAGATCAAAGGACTCATGTTGACCCCAAAAAAACATCCTCAAAGGGTACCAAGGGGACTTGGGGTCAGGAATTCTACGGAATTGCTGCGTGATCCAAGTGCGACAAAACCCAGGCTGCTTGTTGACTTGGGAATGGCGGGACCAAATCACAAGAGCAAATCTTACCCCATAGAGAGCCACTTGGGCCCAATCGAGGAGCGATTGGGAGGGGGGGTCCCAAATCTACTATTGAATTTCATTGCGCCAAGTAGACCCATGCCTGACCACCAAGATCCCTAACTGGACATGGGGCATTTGGGATCTTGAGCATAGGTGACTTTTTGGAAAAAAATGGTAGCCCTGGTAAATGGAATGTGCCATTGCCATCTAGCCAAACTAAGCTAAACACAACTAAAAAGACGCCTATGACCCGAACAGCCTGCCGTTCGCAACCTTTTTTTTGGGAGTTGACTCCATTCACCCAGATAAGACTTGGCCCTCGGGTACAAACAAAATATGTTCGGATTCTGCTTCATGCTCAACCTGTGTGTGGCGTAAAAAATAGGGTAACAGCCAACATGGAACCCCGTGCAAATGGAAACAAGGACTGCGGTCCTTTGGTGGTCTAATTTTGAACACAATACCCACCTATGTCCTTGAAGAACTCCTTGGAAAAGGACTTTGGATCGCTCCTTGGCTCTTTGCCACCCAGCTAGCATTCCCAAGAAACCTCGCAGTTTTAGGTCCTAAGGCCGTGAGCCCTATAGGGCCCATATTGGGACTGTGGATGGACATCCAGCTACATGTATGCTGGGATTCCATCTGCCCGCAGCCCACCTCCTTCGGGAGGTCCGGGTTTGGACCATTTTCCTTTTCAAGGAACCATTTCCCTGGCACGTCAGGTTCCATGTGCTGCTTGGTGGGAGGTCCCCCCCGCTCCATAATGTTGGGTTCCCCACCAAAGTCGGGCAGTATTCATCTGCATCTTTGTATATCTCCAAAACCTGAAATAAGACTAACGGATCCCTAATAAACTTTTCCATGGCTTTCGCTCGTTTTACCCCCGACATCCGTGAGCTCGCCATATGCAACGGAGGTGCAGGCCAGCCATCTCCACAGCATCTCATCCTCAGCGCGAGCCAGGAGCCAGGCGCTCGCCCGAGGAACAAAGGAAACATAGGTCTTGCTCAACATAGGTGTTCTTTTTAGTGTCTGGAAAACCGGGCCCCCTTTTTGGTGTCCCCGCCTCCGTTGGACACATACAAATGAACGAACTACACATTGCCCGTTGGGTTTCCTCAAAGGAACTCAAGGAAGTATGGCTGAGTTTGCTTCCCCCATTCCCCGGAAGTGGCCGTGGGGAAAGCTCGCAGAAAGCGAGAAAAAGGGGCGAATCCCCCCGAAATCCCATCGAATCGGGTTAAAAGTGCCCTTCATGGATCGGCAGAGACTTCTTTTTTCCCCCTTTTTTTTCCGGGTGTGGCACGTGGGGTGGGAACAAACCTATGACACCTTGGGTTCTGTCCATACGAAGACCTGTGAATCAGAAAGTCGAAAGATTGGTGTGAAGCAGGCCTTTTTTTTCTACTGGCCACGGGCGCCAGCCACGCTGAAAATCCCTCACAAAGACCTTAAAGGCACCCTATGAGACCTTAGGACCGCAAGATCGCACCGGTTGATGTACATGTTTTGGGAAGACCGTTTTGGTAGCAAACAGAAAGTGCCGCTTCTTCCGGCCAGCCCACTCAAGACCCACGCAAGTGACATATTGTGCTTGGCGAATGTTGATTTTAGGAAACAGGTAAACACCCATGCAAACGCAATGGGATGATGCGTGCTTTCGTTATCTTTTGCTTCATGAGGGGACCCTTGCTTCTTTTTTGCCGAGGAGTGAGGCATCTACCTTCTTTTGTTTCGGCGAAGGGTCCCTCTTTGGGTCATGGCAAACATAAGGTCGATCGCCTGCCGCCCCAATAGAAGACCCCCTTCACAAATATGGCGGTGTCATCTGTGAGGCAGGGTACCTTGCTCTTGCTTTCTTGTTTGCAAGGGAAAAGTGCCAGGAAACCCGCAAAGTTGATTGAAGACTGGACCATCCCTGGGGCCCACAAAAAAGGGGGTCCGTTGTTGTGCCGGCCCCGTTCTTCTGCCTCTCTACCTGATTTGTTGTGGGTGAGTCGGTCAGGGGACCATTGGGCGCCACGTTTCTTGCATTGAAGAACATCACTGCAGGGTACTCTTTTTTGCTGTTGTTTCGTTTCAAGAAGAACCTTGCGCATCTGGGGTACACAGAAATCATAGGTTCTGACTCTGTTCATATTTAGGCCCCCCCCACGTTTTAGAGGAGACTCCGGGAAAGGGAGGGAACCTCCTTCCACTTTGGAAGCCGGACACCTCCGAGATCCCGGCACCAAAGCCAAGGCTGCTTCGTCCGGAAGCAGTCTCCAAGCTGAGCCAAAGCTATCAAAATGGACGACTTCGGACCCATCAAACATTTCACCAGCCTGAAATAAGGTGGTTGGTGGGGCACTATTGAGCTTGCAGAATGTCTTCAAACAGGTGTACAACCACTATATGACCAATTCTATAGGGCGGGTGTCCCAATGTTCCTTGCGGTGTGGGGGTAGTGGAGACCCTCTTGGATGCTCCCACTAGCTGAGTTGTCTATCGTCATGTTGTTTTTGCCCCAACCTGCAGTTGTTGTCCGTCTCTTTTTCTTGAAGGGAGGCTTCCCTTTAAGTCAACCACCAAACAAAGAGCCTGTTTTCCAAATGGCCGATGACTTTTACAGCTGAACACGAAATTTAGCTTCCCCAGAAACGAGCGGTGGTTTCCCATGTACCTACAAGAACCCGGGGTTCAACCCCCAACCACCAATCCAAACCACAAATCAAGTGTTCCATGGAATGACACAAAAAAGCTGGCGAACATGCGTATCAAAACTCAGTGCCTGGCAAGTGTAGTCGCCCGCTCTACAAACAACGGACAAACTTCGCTCCGATCGGCGGCAGCCGGCAGTTGGGATGGATGACACCCAATTTGAATATCTGGCCATGGGTCAACATCCCCGGTTGTAGTGAACATCCCAATCTCCACTAAAATAGGTCCTAAAACGGGTGGTGAATTCACCCACCAACCAAAATGGGATCCCAAAACGGTTTTGACCACCACAGCCATTTGTTGCGCAGCATCGGGAAATTGCGGCGAGTGCCGGTCCAAAGCTTGGCCTCGGCCGCAGAAGGGGCACGATCCGGAATCCGGGCAGCGCGTTGGCGGAATGCGTGCGCCAAAGCTTACTGTACTGGGAATCTCTAATTCCTCCAGTAGAGAGCCTGGAATAAGAGTGCCGGCTTTTTTTCTGTGGCCACTGTGGTCTATTTTAGTAGGAACCCTCCCCCAAAAAAAGAAACGGTAAAAGGGCCTGGGGACCTAGTCGTCTCAAAATACCCAACAAGGCAAAGGGTTTTTCGACCACGGCACAAATTTGCGTACCCCCCGTCGATTCGCTGTGGAGTGAGAATGTCTTCTTTCCAAACCCCCCAAAAAAAAACGGCGTCCCAGGTGGTCCACAGCATGCAAACCCGTGCAAACTCTTGTGTAAGCCTGCCCCATGCTCACAGGATTTCGCCCTCAAAAGCTGCAGTTTACTTGGTGAGTTCCCAGAAGCCTGGCAACCTGGGAGGCCCAAAAAACGGGGGGGCATGAAGGAACCCTATGGCTTTTGAGGTTCCGGCTCGCTGAACTAAGGGGTGTATTCCTTTCCCATTAATTTCAACCCTCGTGCTTTTCAAGAACCAGCCGTTTTCCCTGGGTGTCTGGAGGTTTTGTAGAAAGAAGGATCCCTGAAAATCATGGGGGAATCCGTATCCCTAGAATCTGCCAAGCCCCCCCCGTGCCAAACCCCACTGCGTGCAGCTTTTGCATCCTAAGGTGTCAGTCGCCAATATGTTCCTTCAGTGCGGTGAGACCTCTGGATCCGTCGAGCTGATCTCCGGCGATCCATGCACCCCACAAGCAGTTTGCTCAAAAACGACCAGCCAGAGGAGGATCCAATGGAAATCCGTGAACTTTTCGTGTTTGGCATGAAATGCCAGGCTAGAGGTAAACATACCAGATTCCCTACTATCCCCGACCCCCAGCGGTCGTGCAGAAAAAGAACAAAAACGGGTACTACTCTTCTTGGTCGTTGATTCCAATATTTTAAAGGAAAGCCCTCCAAAAAGGCAATCAGGAAGCAACTCACATCAACGGGTGACAACTCGAAGAACTGGGATGGATGCGTTAGCCTCAAGAGATCCATGGGGCCCAAGATCAACCTCCACGTCTCACAAATTCCAGCCGAGTTCGCAGCTGGCCGACCTGTGCTAGGCCGAAAGGTTGACGCGCGCGAAGCGCTAATTGGTCTGGGCGGAACCAGACTCAAGGCTTCAAATCTTCAAACCAAGGCTCAAGGATACGGTTCTGTGTGTTGTTGAGGGGATTTGTGTGGTCCTTAAAAGGAAACCAAGAGGAAAACAAGTTTGGTTGTCTTCTGTGGGGGGGCTTGCTTGCGATGCTTTGTGTTGTGCCGATAGATAATCCCTCGGGTTCAACACCCATTAGCGGAACTGTTGACCCAATTTGGATGATGAAACTCCTCAGGTAAACAATGGTGGCTATACTAACCCACATTGTTTTCATGGTGGCAACTGAATCCCGCATCAACCCCAGGATAACCCCTCATTTGTGCCCCGTCCCCGCAAAAAGCACCAAGCTCCAGTCGTATTTAAACCACCTAAAGGCTCAAACATCAGCGCAGTTGACGCGCGCAGTGAAGGGCTCAAGGCTTGGGAATGTCTGGAGGGTCCCCTGCGAACGGACACCTCCCCCCCCCACGCCCTGAAAGCCGAAAAACCCAAGGAGCCGCATGGCTGGGAGCCAAGGGGAGCCAATGGATTCATCGGGCCAAGTGACCCGGGCCCCTGTCACCATACTCTGGATGGACGAAGTCCCCCTTTCGGCACCGTTCAGAAACCCGGGTTTATCTTGGTCCTCCAGAATTTGAGAGGTTAGAATAAGGGCACCAACTTTTTCCGGTAGTCTATTTTTGTAGGGGAACCGAATCTCCCCAAAAAAGAAACGGGAAAAGGGCATTACTGGGGGACCTAGTCATGAATCGATTCCCCTGGAACCAACAAATGATTCAACCATGGTTTCAAAGTGGTGCATCCACAGTCCCCGTTATGGCATGACTCTGTTTCATATTCTTCGCGAATCAACCCGCTTCCTCCGATCAATGGCCATGGACAAAACTGCGCTGCGGGTGGTCATGGTCCCTTCAATTGTACACTGTTGTCTAATTTACTTGAAGGTTCCATGACGATCCCACAAGTAAACTCGATTAGGAATCCTGGTTGTCCAACAATCTCCACTAGGTCCTCCAGTAGAGAGATTGGAATAAGGGTACCAACTTTTTCTGTAGTCTATTTTAGTAGGGGAACCCTTTGAAGGGGTGAGAAAAGGCACTACTGGGGGACCTAGTCTATGAAGGGACGAATGACCATTCCCAACCCCAAAGTGAGGGGTATTTTGACCATGGCCGCGGCCTCTCATGCGGGGGACATTTTCCTCCGGCCTTGGCAAGGGCTCTGCGTTTGCATCTTCGGCCCAGCCAAACATGTCAAAACCCCGTACCCCCAGCGAACATCCCAATCCCTACTAAAATAGACTAAAATGGGTGGTGCACCCACCCCAAAATGGTACCATTGATGTTGACCCACGGCCATATGGCTTTCGGACTTGCCGTTTCAGGCTTCCCGCCTGTCTTCACTGGGCCAGACTTAGACCCCCTGCAAGAAAGTCTTTGTTTGCCACAAAGGGGAAACCAAGGAACCCCAACGGGCAAAAAAGGCAAGAAGGCAAGAGGTCACTTCAGCGCAGCCATGTCAAGAGAAACCGACAGAGAAAGTCACCATAGAGTCCTCCACTTTTGGCACAGGTCCGTATGGGCCCACTGGGTTGTTCAAAATGGGGGATCCCTGGTCACAAGTCCGCAATCCTTGTGAAACACAACTAGGGAGATCACCGCCTGGCAAAAGGATTGAGGATTGATGGTGAAAACCTATAGGAATTCAGAGGTTCATTTGAGGAATCCCGACCCAAAAGCAGCTGAACAACCGCGGGACACCCTTTGCAGACA